CTTTTCCACCATTTACAGACAAAACCATCAGCAGCACGTCCTCTGTTACACTCATATTCACCTGAGTCGTGTCGTTTAGTCCAACACAAACTGAACCACATCAGACACAAGAAACAACAGATTATGTAAATGAGTCATGTGGTTTTAGGTTTGGTTTCTGTAAAACATGAACATATGTGACAAAACTGAATTAAACACATGATAAACTCAAACTGATGTGGCTCTAGAGTCGTTATGTTTATATGTCGTTACGCTTTAGTTTACTCATGTAAAGTTTATTTATGCAGAAGATTTTAATGAATAATCTGCTGCAGTGTCACTTGTACAACAGAGTTTGAACCGTTGGGTTTGATCTGCAGTGGATTGTGGGATTAAACCTCAGATCCTGACGCTGGTGAAGAACATGGATCTGTTCAAATAATGAACCTCCTGAGCTTCTTCTGCTGAAGGAGCTGATGGTTCTTGTACAGTTACAGAGTTAATGCAAACATGAGCTTGAGTTGTTTTATTTATGAATGAAAAGAAGGAAATATGTTTTATTTCTTTTATTTTACACGTTAATTATTATTTATGTAATCAGGGATTTTTTGTCATCTTAAATGTGGCAGAAGCTTTTTGTTCCTACATGAACTGTCCACCTCTTGCACCTCAGTAAAAAAAAACCTTGTGGAATTTGACATATTTGTTTTTGCAGTAGTTTTGGGGCGTTATTATTCCTGTGCAAATATCGAGATATATATTTTCTGCTCCATATCGCCCAGACCTACATTCAACTTTCAAAAATTGACAATAATTGACACATTACATACGTCACGACCAAACAGCAGCGAAGTGAAACTGTGTGATGACTCAGGATAATGAAACACACACTGAGAAAGTTTACTGGACTCTCACTCACCGAGTTGTCGGACTTTTTCCTTGACACGCTGGCTCTGCCTCGGCTCGTCTCTCTCCTCGCCGTCGGCCGCGGTGGCCCTCGCCCCCTCGCCCCTCCCGCAGAGCTGGTAGTGCATCATGGCCGCGGTGCCGCTCCTCACCAGGGCCTGGAGACAGTTTGGGTTTTCGCTGAGCCTGAGGAGGAGCCTGAAGCAGCGCGCGCTCGGGTCCGGGTGACTCGTGAGGTACAGGAGCAGCGCCGACATCACCGCCGTGTTCACCAGCGCCGCGCTCGGGTCCGACACGTGCGAGAAGCGCGACAGCAGCAGGAGGATGGGCGACTCCGGGGTCCAGGGCTCGGGGTGGTACGGGTGGTACGACGCCGGGCGGCTCACGGAGGGCGGAGTCTCGATCGGGAGCTTCAGGATGGACGCTCGATCTCGCTGTTTTCGGCGCTGAGGAGAGCCCAGCTTGAACTTCGACGGGGAGACGGGGGTTTTGGAAGAACTGGAGGCAGGTGCAGAAGAAGAAGAGGAGGAAGAGGAAGAGGAAGAGGAGGAAGAGGAGGGGGAGGGGTTTTTACAGGTGGGGTCGTGGGGATTGGGGGTGGAGGAGGAAACAGGTGAGAGGAGAAGAGGCTTAAGGCTGCTGGAGGAGGTAGGTGTAGTAGTAGTTGGAGTATTTGGAGTAGTTGCAGTAGTTGTAATAGTAGCAGTTGTAGAGTTAGTGGCAGGTGAAGCAGAGGACAGGTGCAGCCCGCTCCACTCGGTGTCCCTGTCGGTGGAGGAGGAGTCCAGCAGATCTCCCTCAGACGAGATGAGGCCTTCAGACAATAACCACGACCTGAAACCAAAGTGTAAGTGTTTTAACCGAAGGAGAAGACGACGACAGACGAGAGATCTGGACTCAGACGTGACGTTACAGCTCCATCAAAAACTTGATCCAGTGGAAGAAAAGCTGCGTGCTGTCGACCTTTAACTGTTTCACTTCCACAGATGCAGAAGAAAATAAACTCTGCTGCATCTGAACACAGAGTCTTTTAAAGAACCAACATCACACTATTGTCTGATCTCTGTTCTAATGAAGGTTTAAACTCAGAAAAGTCTTTGTGCGTAAACTGTCTTTGTATTTTGGTTGATGACAGAGAGATTCTGTTTTACAACTACAGCTGCTTCTTGTTTTTTGTACTTTTCTTCACCTTTCTCCCCACAAATTGTCTTTAAGATGTGATAAGATTTTAGCTCAGGAACTATCACCAAACCATCCTCTCGTGTGTTCTCTCGTGTTTTGTTGCGCGTTCTCTCGTGTTTTGTTGCGCGTTCTCTCGTGTTTTGTTGCGCGTTCTCTCGTGTTTTGTTGCGCGTTCTCTCGTGTTTTGTTGTGCGTTCTCTCGTGTTTTGTTGCGCGTTCTCTCGTGTTTTGTTGCGCGTTCTCTCGTGTTTTGTTGTGCGTTCTCTCGTGTTTTGTTGCGCGTTCTCTCGTGTTTTGTTGCGCGTTCTTCTCGTGTTTTGTTGCGCGTTCTCTCGTGTTTTGTTCTCTCGTGTTTTGTTGCGCGTTCTCTCGTGTTTTGTTGTGCGTTCTCTCGTGTTTTGTTGCGCGTTCTCTCGTGTTTTGTTGCGCGTTCTCTCGTGTTTTGTTGTGCGTTCTCTCGTGTTTTGTCGTGCGTTTTCTCATGTGTTGTCATGTGTTCTGTCGTGCGCTCTCTCGTGTTTTGTCATGTGTTCTGTTGTACGTTTTCGTGTGTTCTGTCATACGTTCTCGTGTGTTGTTGTGTTCTGTTGTTTTGTCGTGCGTTCTCTTGTGTTTTGTTGTGTGTTCTTTCGTGTTTTCTCATGTGTTCTCTCGTGTTCTGTCATGCGTTCTGTCATATGTTCTCTCGTACATTCTGTCGTACGTTCTCATGTTTTGTCGTGTGCTCTGTCGTACGTTCTCTCGTACGTTCTCTCATGTTTTGTCGTACGTTCTCTCGTACGTTCTGTCGTACGTTCTCTCGTACGTTCTCTCATGTTTTGTCGTATGTTCTCTCGTACGTTCTGTCGTACATTCTCTCGTACGTTCTCTCGTACGTTCTGTCGTACGTTCTCTCGTACGTTCTGTCGTACGTTCTCTCGTACGTTCTGTCGTACGTTCTGTCGTACGTTCTCTCGTACGTTCTGTCGTACGTTCTCTCGTACGTTCTCTCATGTTTTGTCGTGTGCTATGTCGTACGTTCTGTCGTACGTTCTCTCATGTTTTGTCGTACGTTCTGTCGTACGTTCTGTCGTACGTTCTCTCATGTTTTGTCGTACGTTCTCTCGTACGTTCTGTCGTACGTTCTCTCGTACGTTCTCTCATGTTTTGTCGTACGTTTCTCGTACGTTCTGTCGTACGTTCTGTCGTACGTTCTCTCGTACGTTCTGTCGTAGGTTCTCTCATGTTTTGTCGTACGTTCTGTCGTACGTTCTGTCGTAGGTTCTCTCATGTTTTGTCGTACGTTCTGTCGTACGTTCTGTCGTACGTTCTGTCGTACGTTCTCTCATGTTTTGTCGTACGTTCTGTCGTACGTTCTCTCGTACGTTCTGTCGTAGGTTCTCTCATGTTTTGTCGTACGTTCTGTCGTACGTTCTGTCGTACGTTCTGTCGTACGTTCTCTCGTATGTTCTGTCGTACGTTCTGTCGTACGTTCTCTCGTACGTTCTGTCGTACGTTCTCTCATGTTTTGTCGTACGTTCTCTCGTACGTTCTCTCATACGTTCTCTCGTACGTTCTCTCGTACGTTCTGTCGTATGTTCTCTCGTACGTTCTGTCGTACGTTCTCTCATGTTTTGTCGTACGTTCTGTCGTACGTTCTGTCGTACGTTCTCTCATGTTTTGTCGTACGTTCTGTCGTACGTTCTGTCGTACGTTCTGTCGTACGTTCTCTCGTACGTTCTCTCGTACGTTCTGTCGTACGTTCTGTCGTACGTTCTCTCGTACGTTCTCTCGTACGTTCTCGTCGTTCTCTCGTACGTTCTCGTACGTTCTCTCGTACGTTCTCTCGTACGTTCTGTCGTACGTTCTCTCGTACGTTCTGTCGTACGTTCTCTCATGTTTTGTCGTACGTTCTGTCGTACGTTCTGTCGTACGTTCTCTCATGTTTTGTCGTACGTTCTGTCGTACGTTCTGTCGTACGTTCTGTCGTACGTTCTCTCGTACGTTCTCTCGTACGTTCTCTCGTACGTTCTGTCGTACGTTCTGTCGTACGTTCTCTCGTACGTTCTGTCGTACGTTCTCTCGTACGTTCTCTCGTACGTTCTCTCGTACGTTCTCTCGTACGTTCTCTCGTACGTTCTGCGTGTGTGATACCTGAGGCTGAGGAAGCTGCTGGAGCACAGAGTTTCCTTCTTCTCTTCCGGAGGGGGAAAGTCGAACGAGTCCATGCAGTCCCTCGCTGCGTCACCAGGGGGCAGCTGCGAGCCTTTACACAGACGCACCAACCGCTCCACCAGCGCCGCCACCAGCCCCGCCTCCTGCAGCGTCTCCATGGCGACCTCGTCAAACACAAAGTCCACACACGCCCAGATCGCCATTCTGCACACACCAACAAACGAAAACACACACCAACGCACACGGTTAAAGGCACAACGAGCATGGAATACTACAGATGCCCTCCCGTCCTCCCTGTTGTAACAGTTCTAAAACTCATCCTCAGTTCGGTCTCTGTTCTGTTTGACAAAACGATAAATCCAAAGAGAGTTTGGGATTGTCGGCAGCTTCCCCCCTCTTGCCTCTCCTCAGATGAGTACCTGGACGAGGGGGCGGGGCTGTACCTGGGCAGGTGGACGAGGGGGCGGGGCTGTACCTGGACGAGGGGGTGGGGCTGTACCTGGGCAGGTGGATGAGGGGGCGGGGCTGTACCTGGACAGGGGGTGGTCCTGATGCGTGGAGATGAATCCCGTGAGGAGCTCCAGACCTCCGCAGTCCTTCACTTTGGCTCTGTTCACGGCCTCTTTGCAGCAGAGACACAGCGCTTTGAAAAACATGGACGACTTCAGCGCGTCCTTCTTCGCCTCCTCGCAGAACCGCCGGATCACGCCCAGAGAGCCCACCAGGGGGCGCAGGCAGCCCTGAGCGCACACATTGGCGAGGGTCTTCAGCGCCAGCTC